GCACTTAACAACAACAAATATAAGCTTTACAACCTAATAGTCAAAGTTTCAATGAAAAGTATAACATGCATATTTGCACACGTATCTGCTCTAAGCTGCCTCAGCAAAATATATCAAATTTCTCTTTAACCATTATTTTTCATAAGGCACACATTTAAATATCTGATTATTTACTTACCACCCGGGAATGTATTTCTTTGGCATATAATGGAAATAAAAATTCTGATTCCCCTTCCAGACGAAGTCCATCTTTGGTTACACGCAAATGACCCATTCCTGTCTATTAAAAAGATGAGAGAATAGAGATTTTTATTGCTCTTAATGTTTCACTCCTTTTAGTATCAACTTAAATTATTCATGTAATTTTTACAGATTTCTCAGAAGGTACTTTTTTCTATTTCTCCTAAAAACCATATTTGAAACTTAAAAAAAAAATTCTATATTTGATATTGTATTAAATACGGCAGACGAAGTACAGCCAGAGTGCTCCTTGCAAGCCATAATCTCACACTTGGGACATATCATCAGGAGGGACCAGTCCTTGGAGAAGGACATCCTTGGTAAGGTGGAAGGTCAGTGAAAAAAGAGGAATCCTCAGCGAGACGGGTTGACACCGTGGCTGCAGGGACAAGCTCAGGTGTAGCGACCATTGTGAGGTTGGTCCAGGACCTGGCAGTGTTCTTTCTGTCATGCAGAGGGTCACTATGACTCGATGACACATAACAGCAACAACACAAGAGAGGATAAAGTTTGCTCAAGTTGGTCACCTAAATTGTGGAGATTAGGAATGTGTGCGATTCTAGAAATATGTGTGTGTGTGTGGAATCCAGTCCTGGGTGTACTTCATGCATGACATTGTTATTTCCCAGTATTTGCTATAGAAGCAAATTTAATTCCAACTGAATTATACCTTATCATTAACTCTTAAGATAAAGGAAAAAAATACATTCTCTGCTAGAAAGAAACAACAGCAAAAATGCCTATCCTAAAATTGCATTTATTAAGCACACAAAATTCCCTAAAGATCAATCCATTGATAGAAACGCTGCTTTCCAAGAAATATGATATTAAAATTAATTTTAGGGAGGGTCTGAAATGCCACCTAATTAAAAAAAATCTTTAAGTGAAAATATATAGTGTACAGAGATGTGGGATACTATTTTAATACATTTTATTTTGCCTCACCGTTTTCTTACTGTGGAATTCTTAATACCTAAAAGGATGGTGTGGCACTGTAGGATAAATGCTCCACCACAAGGTCAGTTTGAACCACAAGATCGGCGGTTCAAACTCACCAGGCACTCCTCAGAAGCCCTATACAGGGTCGCTATGGGTTAGAACCGACTTGAGGGCACTTAACAACAGTAATGTCTTTAGATTCAAAAGGATACACTGCTTTCAACAAAGTCATGTCTCTCCCATTAGCATCATTCAAATGTGTTTCATCTGTTGTGCATAGTGTTGCTATGAGTCAACTCCTCTGGCACGTTGGGTACAGCATTGGACTGTAAACCACAAGGTCAGTGGTTCAAACACACCAGCTGCTCCTCGGAAACCCTATAAAAGGTCGCTATGAGTCGGAACCGACTTGAAGACTCCCAACAACAGCATTGTTATCAGCTGCCATCCAGCCAACGCCCACTCATGGCGGCCTCACGTAGAACGGAAGGAAACGTCATCCAGTCCTGCACCATCTTTCTGATCTTTAGTGTCTTTAAGTCCGGTTCTGGCAAAGGTTATATGAATATAGGAATGAAATTGCTATTGTTGTTAAGGGTTGCTGAGTCAGTTCCGACTCATAGAGACCCTGTATACAGTTTCTGAGGAGCGGCTGATAGGTTTGAACCGCTGACCTTGTGGTTAGCTGTCCAGTGCTTGTCCAACAGCACCACACCACGATATAAAGAGAAGTGAAGTTATGATACATGCTACTACATGGGTGAACCTTGAACTCAGTATGCTTTTCAGTGAAATGCATGGTGTGTTAGCTAAGGCTAGGATTCTCAGCGGCTTCTTGTTGTTGTTATGTGCTGTGGAGTCGGTTCCGACTCATAGTGACTCTACACAGGGTTTCCGAGATACGGGAGCAGACCGCCTCATCGTTCTCCCGCGGAGCGGCTGGTAGTTTCCAACTGTTGACCTTGTGGCTCACAGCCCGATTCGTAACCACTACGCTACCAGAACTCCGTGGCTTAGCAGTTGTTAAAATTGTGCTTACACTCTCCATGATGAGATCTAATATGATGAAATTAGCCTCATGCTGTGATCTGGCATGATCAGTTGGATCTGCTGTTACTATCTTACGTGTTGTAAATCTTCACGTCTCTGATATTAATGGACTCCTGGTGAGTGACGCTGTGGGTGAATGCGTTGGACTGCAAAGTCGGTTTGATCTGCAAGGTCAGCAGTTCAAGCTCACCAGCTGTTCTTCAGAAACACTATACAGGGTCGCATTGGGTCGGAATCGACTTGACAGCACTTAACAACGGCCTGATGTTAATGAGCCAGGGTGATAAGATACAGGATTAGGCTATATCTTGAGTTAATCTCTTTTGAGATACAAAAGGAGAGCAGAGAAAGAGGGACTGGAGACCATCAAGAAAGAAGTGCCAGGAATGTATTGTGTCCTTTGTATCTGGGGTCCCTGCATTGTGAAGCTCTGAGGTTCAGGGAACATTGATGCCAAGACACATGGAGCTCTCCAAGGAATGCTAGGCCTGCAGATGCTCACAGGAGACAAGGACCTTTCCCCAGAGCCGGGGCTCTGAATGCAGACTTCCAGCCTCCGCGACTGTGAGAAAGTAGATTTCAGTTTGTGAAAATTGTCCCCTTGTGGTGTTTCTGTTATGGCCGCACCAGAGAACACAGACACATGGCAAGGGGGTTTATTGGCAAACTTAGTCTTTGCTTTTGTTATGGTTTTAACTCCTTGCTTATTTTACTAATGCACAGTAAACCATCCACATGGGGCCCGTAGTTTTGTCGGAAGTGTGACTTCCCACTTTGTTTTTACAATGAGAAATTTAGCAGGAAGACAGTGTCATTTTTGTGCCAAGTATCTAAGTAATGAAAATGATCATAATCGGTACTATTTGTGTGTGTGTTACCAAGGATCATAAACTAAAAAAAACACAACCACTGCTATTGAGTCAGTTCTGATTCACAGCGACCCTATAGGACAGGCAGACCCTGTAAGACAGACAGACCCTATAGGACAGACAGACCCTATAGTACAGACAGACCCTATAAAACTTTTCCTTAGCATTTCCAAGATTGTAAATCTTTATGTGCAGACAGCCTCATTTTTCTTCCACAGAGCAGTTGGTGGATTTAAACTACTGACTTGGCACCTAACAGCCCAATGCCTAACCTACTGCGCCACCAGCACTCCTAGATTGAATATAATCCTAAATAAAGCCACCATTTTTACCCAGTCTGACTCCTAAACACATATTCTCTTCCACAACCCAAAAGTAGATTTTTTTCCCCCACAATAAAACCTAAAAAAGAAGTAAAATTAGGTAGGCTTATCATTGTAAAGTATTATCTTCAAGAGCACTTGTGAGAAAAAAACACACACATGATGTTAGCAAAAGACAGGAACTAGTTTACATTGTCAGTGGAAAGTGGGGACAAAGTGAATGCATTCATGTGGAGAGCTGGTTGATTGTGTTACAATAAAACTCTGTTGACAGGGACGTGAATTGTGGTTCTGGACCAAGTTGGTAAATGTCACACTTGACGTTTTCACAGCAAGACCTTACAGCTTGTGAGACTAAAGTGTGTTTTGCCTTCTCCATTTTCCAACCGTCATACTATGGTTAAATCACTCATATGGTAGAAAAGCTGCAATAAAGACAGAAATTGAAGACTTAACTCTAGGGGTAAAAGTAAAAATCTAAGGTTGTTTGTATCTTTGGATATCAGGGAGAGTAGAGTTTGCTTGTCTGATGTTAGTACTTGGATCAGCTCTAGATTTCTTTACACCTAGTCTTAATCACAGCTTGCCTTCTTAGAAGTAAAATGCAATTAAGTTAGTTGTGTTCCTACAATCTGTGACCTCTGTTTCAATCCCATTCAATTATGAGTAACATCTAAATCAAAAATTCCAATTTGCTGTTCAGACTGGGAAGCACTGATATAATAATATCTTTTAGAAAGGTATAAATAATTTGAATGAAAAACTGACAAAGTACTGGTTAAAATATTCCACTGTGTCATATGTTTCTCTAAATCACAGTTTCCATTAGATTGAAACACAAATGGAAAGGAGAGGCAGGGAGTTTATGGAATCAGCATCAGATCACTGAAAATGCAATTACAATGTGCACCAGCCATTGTCAAGGTACGTAAAGGGAGGGGAAAGAGGCGTTCAGCTTGTGTTTATCACTAGAAAATATCCACCACCTGCAGTCTATGCGAAAGCAAGCAAAGACCAATGGCAAGATACTGGGAAACTGAGGCATCAGCTAGGCATAGTGAAGAAGTCAAAATCTTTCCACAATCTGTGTGCCAGACAAAACTGGAATGCCTCCACTCCTACACTTCTTTGTCTTTTGGGTAGAGACTGTGTTGCTTTGGCCTTTTTTGATAGAGACTTTCCCCCAGTTGATAACAAACCACCAATACTCATGGAAACAGTCTGAGATAAGCCGAGACTGAGGGAAGAATAAGTACAAACTCTGATGACGTAAGCTCTTCCTTAGAACATGCCTTTTAGACGGGGGCAGAGAAAAAGGAAGACTAAGAATCTGTACATTCCAAGTATAGTGTTGACAAAGAAAATTGGGTACACTGTGGCTTGCCACATGCACAAACACCGCAGTCTTAGAGGAAACAGAAGGGACTTCAAAAACTTCATGGAAAAATGCCATGATCTTTTCATCCTATTTTCTCTCCACGAACGCTTTGAAGCCCCCTCATATAATCAGAAAGCTCTTTAGATGTGAGGATGGTGACACTTTGGGTCATTTCCTTTGGACACCTTACCAGGAAAGACCAATGCTTAGAAAGGGACATCACAGTCAATACCGTCAAGGACATGGATGTACATATTAGCCACAACAGTGGGCTCAAACACGCCAACGGAGAAGAATATGGAACAGGATGAAGCAACATTTTGTTCTGTTATACTCAGGACCAGAGTCTTGGCGTGACACTGGATTGCTTACTACCAAGCCAGTGGTTGAAACCCATCAGAAGCTCCTCAGAAACCCTATACAGGGTTGCTAGGAGTTGGTACTGACTTCATGGCACTCAACAACAACATACATTGGTAAG